TCTCTGTCAACTCAAGACCTCCAATTCTCTTCTCTCTGCCTCTCACTGATTGCCTCTTTTTCATTATTACAAAAATAATGACGCCTCTTTTTTTGGGTTTTGACCGTGATTGCGCATTGTTCCACCGGGTTTGTAACAGCATGGCCCTACCTACGGGTTGCATTGTGGTAGTAGTAATAATATCATCCATAATATCTATAATATATCAAACTACTGTATGTTTACGCGACCTCATTAAAAAAAAAAACCTCTATTACGGCTGATATTGGTCGCGAAATTCTGCTGCGTGTTAATAATAATAATACTCATTTGCAGTTCCCTTGTCAATCCACGCCGTGTCGGTCGCGCGACCTGTTCGACCATACTTCACCAGGCCGTGCAGTGCGGGTTTGGTGAAGGGGGGAGAGAGGGAGGGCCCACGACCGCTTCAGGACATTCACTCGCCGCCCCACGCACCACGTGCTCGATACATCGGGCGTCCACCCGCGAGACGAAGTTATTCATGCTCGGCGCCGTGTGCCTCACCCACACGACGGACAGAGGGCTCGCAGCGGCCATGCTCAAGGGAGGCCTGCTGAGAAATCCATGTCCGACCACCTCGTGGCTCCAGTTGCATCGAAACCCGTCTGGGCGATGATAGCTAAAGGTGCAGGCCCTGCGATTGATTGCTAACGCCACCGCTGGTGGAAGGCTACTTGGCCTACTCTTCCACGCTGGGCAGACGTCTCGGCAGAGTTGGGAGCACCCACAACTTCAACCCACCGCACGCAATCCGCCGATCAACTTAACGGTGGCGTCACCCGGAGTCAAAAGCTTAATATATAATGGAGGAATCCGATGAGCTATGAAGCTCTTTTCACAGTTGTCCAGTAGTGTATACCGCTGGATGGACAGAGGTGGCGAGGGTGATTTAAGAAGCTTTGCCCAACATTCCTCCTGCCGCTGCCGGGAGGTTGATTCGAACCGGCGCGTGTGGGGACATCAGCACTGGGGAGACAAAGGTGGCTAGACGAGGCCCACGGTCACACCAACCCCACGGTGGCCAGATGTTTACTGCCTCGCCTGGTATACGGGAGGTCGTGCAGTTCCATCCCGACCCTGACGCCTGCATGTTTGGAGTTTGCACGTTCTCCCCCGTGGTCGTGTGGATTTTTCTCCGGGTCCTCCGGTTTTGTCCCTACACGTTTAGAAGCAACACCACGCGTTTGGAGTATTTGGCTGCTATATAAATTTCCACGCGATGATCTACTTCGTTAAGTTCTCATTTTTGGCCAGGTCGCTTCTGAAAAAAGGAGCAACATAGCTCAGTGTGACTCACCTGATAAAATAAAAAAAAAGTTTCGTTTAGTGTGCCTTTATAGGTGCTCGCTAACAGCTCTTGCCCGAGCAGACAGAGCACATACATCAGTGACAAGTGGTAGATGAACCTAGCCGGGGACTGCCCTACGTCGACTCAGCCTAAAACGACCTTGGCTGTGTGACCTTGGCTGTGGAGACAAAGACAGTGTCGGCGTGCGAACGAGAAAAGAACACGAGAAACGATGCAAATGAGAGACGGCCACGGATGTCTGGGCGAGTCGATGGAATCGCGTTAGTTTTTTTACACGCTTTCATTTAACTCACTCTGTCTGTTGTTGTCGTTGTTGTCGTTGTTGTTGTGTCCTCAAATCTTGTAACTCAACGTTAACCCACTTCCCAATGTGGTATCGACTGCAAACTTTGTATACTTACGGCATACTGATGACATACTATATTCTATCATAAAAAAATCTATATTTTTAAACGACCTTTTTATATGTTATGTTTCGGCTTGGGTCTAATTGTCCACGCTCAACTGACGTTGGCTGTAATTGACCACGGGCCCCTTACGTTGTGGCAAGCTTCGGGGCCACTTCCTGGAGTCGTGGAGTTCTTCCATTACTAATACATTTCTTCCATTACTAATACATTTCTTCCATTACTAATACATTTCTTCCATTACTAGTACATTTCCATTACTAGTACATTTCATATTACTTATTCGGTAAAGCACAAAGTCGAGGCCCAAACGTCCAAGGCAAAATCCGGGACGTTTGTGTCGCAGAGGCAGTGAGAACTTGGGGCCCCGCGTCCAATTCATCTTCGTAGCCCGGCGCCTCGATGGGCCCCCAATGCCCCGTGGGCTCCGGTGCAGTTGCACCGCCATTCACACTCCACTTCCGCAGATGAGGAATCGTTCGTTTACGGTCAAGGCCTCCTCTTAAATGAGAGTGACAACGGGAGCCGAAGTTGTGGCACCCTCGCTCGCCGGGCAGTGCTCGCGTGGAGAGAGAGAGGATGAGAGACACTCGCGTGGAGAGACGGAGAGGCGTGGGGAGAGGGAGGCGCATTGCATCGCAGAAAGCCGATGCGAGAGGAAGATGCAATTAGCTGGGTGAGACCGAAAGGGGAGAGACAGAGAGAGAGAGATGGCTCAGATGTACTTACTGGCTGCTGCTACTGCTGCCATTAGACGGTCTCCTTTGTGGGATTGCTGGGTTGGAACACGTATTTGTCATCAGCAACAAATACAACGATAAACACATTACAGCTTGAATCAACACATTTTTCTGGTGTTTATTTGCGTCGTGTTTATTGCTTCCGTCCTATTGGGGTTTATGAGATTTCAGTTGAGGAGGAGTGGGGTGGGGGGTGAGGGTGTGAGACCGAGGGAAGAAGGGGTGGTGTGGGAAGATATATTAAATTTATTCCCAGAAAATTACTTCATTTTAAAGACGGCATTATTCGTAAGGGTGAAGGATTTTAAGTGAATGGCAGTAGCCATATTTTATGTTAACCTCATATGCCGCAGCAGTAGTAGTATCATCATCATCATCACCAGCAGCAGCAGAAGCAGAATCAACATCAGCAACAGCCACAACAGCAGCAGCAGAAGCAGCAACATCAGCAGCAGTAGCAGCATAATTACCATCAGCAGGAATATCAGGATCATCCACAGCATCATGAGCAGCAGCACCAGCAGCATCTTTTTTAAATAAAAAAATTGAACTCAAATATTTTCTATCATGTATGGACACTCATTAATTTACTGAAAAAAAATCTCCATTGATAGAGGACTGCAGAGCTTTGGCAATTGTTGGTAGCGCCGGCTCACGACTTGGCTGCTGCTGCTCCCGCCGTCCAGCTGTCAATGGCCCCTTCGCGATTGTGAGAGATGCAATTTGCATGAGCCACGGCCAACACGATGCATACATATATATATAAAAAGTAAACATTATTACAATTATATTTTTAATCATCAGCGGCATGAGCAATTGCAAGGCCGCACCCTCACCTTACACGAGACAACTGCACGAGGTCGCTGGCAATGGAGACAAAAGAAATACCCAGTCAACACGAAACGTTGGCCTAACGTTGTGCCAACCATGGTCCACCGGCTACACCCACATGCCAACATTGGCACAGCGTTGCAGTTTGCTGGGCTGTTATTTCGCATCTCAAACGCTCCCAAGGACCCAACCCCCTTCGACTGCAATGAAACATCGCAACACAGCGCGTTATATATTTTACTTTATTCCATCTGCATTTATTGATTTCTCTATATTTATTTTTTAAAGTCTGATGGGTAACACCTGCTATTACGGTATACACTGTAAAATGAAGCCGTAAAAGTGTCTTCTTGGCTGATATTTCTGACGGCAGTCCTGAGCCGGCGCTGGCAATTCCACATTCCTATGACGTGGGGCGAGTGTATCCGTAGCGCCGCCGTCTCTGTTGACGTGCCACAGTGTGGTTCAATTATTTTTTCCGCAAGGCGATCAAAGGCCCTCCCTCCCCTTGCCCCCCCCCCCCCATGACGTGGGGAGGGCTCCATCCAGCAGTGGATTCACAAAGGGGCTGGCTGGTCATTTACATGCACAACCCAAAGGCAGCACAAAAATAAGATCAACATTTCTATCGCGAATTCTCCCTCGCATGAATCTCAACAGGAATAAATCTTACATGGCCCCGTGATATTAACGATAGGAATTCATATTTACAAATGTTAGTTTACAGTTTTCGAGATGTCTGCTTTTGCAAACCGAAGAGAAAATTTGTTTTCACAATATCCGCACGTAAACGGAGAGAGACAATATCAGCCCATGTTTGAAATTTTAGATTTTTCACGTCATCCAACGCAGTCAGTCCACATGCGGAGAAAAATGTTTGCATTGCGCGGGGCCATATTCCAATTGCCACACATGTTTACGCCAAGGTTAAACATGCTTGTGGTGCTGCGGAAGCGGCGATGACGCCACTGCACCACCGGTGCCAGACTAGATGTACTTGTACGATTGTGTTGCATGATGCTTCTGTTGACAAGATTCTACACGGCGACCAAGGAGAAGATCTCAATGCAGATGTTGGGTGGTGGAAATCACTCTGGTGGTGGTGGCAATGATGATTGTGGCGATGATGGTGGTGACGGTGGTGGTGTGGCTGTTCTGCTGATCTAGCAGAAGGAAGCAACAGGGTGAGGTCTCCGTTATGACCTCTTGACCCTGACCTTGATCTTCATGCTGGTTTTATCCACCGTATCTTCCTGGGATAGCACTCCATTGGCGACCCTGTCCCTGCGGTGGAAATTCCTAATTCTCATGGCAGGGGCCCAATCTTTGTACGGTGCCACTGCTGTAAACTTCACATGAAGTGGTACTCATTTGAATGACCGCAACACTCAAATGATGAAATCCTCTCCCGTCAGATCTCGGAAGAGAATCAGAGTTGAGCCTGGCAGGCACTTGGATTCGAGACTGCCAGCTGTTGCAGGTGTGGGTTGTGAGATGGGCTCAATGCCTTGAACCAGTTGTGGAAATTCCACATTCCCACTCGTTCCCCACTGTCCCCCCCTCACCCCAATCTTCGGTGGCGAGTTGTTAATTACCTCGCTTGGTATACAGGAGGTCGTGAGTGCGATCCCGACACTGACGCCTGCTGTAGATTTGGAGTTTGCATGTTTCCCCAGCGGTCACGTGGATTTTTTCTCCGGGTCCTGCGGAATTTCCCCTCCACGTTTAAGAATCAACGCGTGATTTCAGAGTATTTGGCTGCTAGGAATGTCCACGTGATGATAAGCCACTTTTTTGCACTTTCATTTGTGATGGCGTGGTCGCTTCTGTAGACGATCTATACAGTTCAGTGGGCCTTACCGGATAAAATAAAATAATAAAAAATAAAAAAGTGAAATTGTGCGGTGCTGGCATCGCCCCACCATGACACTTTGGCCACGAGCCGCCACTGCCAATGCCATGAACGTAACGAACACTGCCACCGACGCTTCACGACGTTACATGTCCACTCCACGCCGTGAGCGGACAACATAATTGGACGCGAAGGAACGGATCTTGTGCGAGCTCAGCCATGACACACGATGATTATCAAAGTCTGGTTGACCCATCTGAACGCTCGCGGCGCCGCTTCAGATTTCCCCCGAGTGGGAAATTACCCGCAATTCAGACTTTGGCCCACTCGTTGTTTTGTCTGCCCTCTGCGCGCGCGTGCGCATCCAACAGCCAGGGGGATTTTCCTGCTCACGTGAGCAATGAGGCAGTGGCCATCTCCTGTTTATAGCCCTGAGTCAGTGGTGGATATTCCACATTACTGTGACGGGGGCAAGTCGCTCTCGAGGACAACAACTGTTGATGATGGACCGAGTCAACCTCAAACGAGGGGTTGAAAATTGCAACCTTCCGATTGTGAACCACTCGCTCTACCACCGAGCCAGCCGGCCTTACTACGAACGGATAACGAACGACGCACTCCCATCAGTCCCAGCCAAAGTCCTGTCCCACCATCTGGTAGAACTTGAGGTTGAACGGCCGATAGAATTCACGCAGCCGCTGCAGCAGCTCGGGCTCAATGTGCGGGTGTGGCCGGCCCTTGCTGTTGCCAAGGCAGTGAGGCTGGCCCCAGTGATTCTCCTCTCCATCACCACCCGTCCACTCACCCCTCTCGTCATACTCATCGTCCTCCACCGCCTCCGCATCCCCGTCCTCCTCCCCCGAGTCCCGGCGCTCTACCTCCTCGTCCTCGTCCCCCTCCTCGTCTTCCTGCTCGTTCCGCTTCGCCTCTTCGTCTCCAACATCGCCGACGTCTCCGTACGTCCCGCTCCCGCCCCTGCCACGCATCCGCGCGGTCGCCCGCGCGCTCCGCCGCCCGACCTTCCTGGCGCTCCCGCTACTCCCGAGTCTCGCGTCTCCGGCGCCCAGTCCATCGGTAGCGGCAGCGCCGGCGCCAGCGGCAGCGCCAGCGGCAGCGATGCCTCCGCGTCGCAGGCAAGGGAAGCCCTTGGTGGCGTTGAAGTAGAAGTGCCTCCTGGTGACGAGGCGCGCGATGCCGAGGAAGTCCTGCACCCGCGCCAGCTCGGCGGCCGGCCGCGTCGCGAGCCGCTCGCCGCTCACGAAGAGCATGCTCTCGCGCGGGAAGTGCCGCAGCCACCGCTCGAGGTGGCGCGCGTAGAGGCCGATGCGCAGGGCGCTCCAACGCGGCTCCACCGCGGGCGCGCCCGCGGCGGAGCCGTTGCGGAAGGCGAGCCGGCGGAACGGCGGCGTTCCCCGCGGGCGCTTGGCCAGCGTCTGCGCGTAGTCGGAGACGGCACGCGTCACGGGGTCCCGCACCACCACCAGCAGCTTGGTGCGCCCGCCGCCCATGGCGCGGATGCGGGCCGGCGCCTCCCGCGTCACGAAGTAGCTGGGCGTCTTCTCCATCGTGATCTGCCCGGGTTCCGTGGGCGGCATGAGGCCCCTGTGGGTCACGCGCGTGCGGCGTTAACGGCGGCGGCGGCGATGATGATGATGATGAGCTGCTGAAACGAAACTGTGTTTTATTTTACCGGGGTAAAGCTACGGCTCGAGGGCCCGGACACGATCCCACGATACTCACGCTATTTATTTTATTTTACTGGGTAAGGTTCACCGAGCTATGTAGTTCTTTTTTTTTTTTTACAAGCGACCTGGCTATCACAATTGATAAATCAACGCTGTGGCTTATCACGTGGACATTTATAGCAGCCAAATACTCTGAACGCGTGATGCTGATTCTTAATGCGGAGGGAAAAACCGGAGGTCCCGGAGAAAAATCATCGCTACCACGGGGAAAACATGCAAACTACAAACGTGCAGGTTCACGATCGAACCCACGACCTCCTGCATACCAGGCGAGGTAGTTAACATCTCGCCACGTTCATAAGGCGCAACTCATCCGGGCGTCTCTTAGCCACGGCGAGTCGGTGCCGCGGCGAATTATCGGACGCGCGGCAAACCGCGAAGCCGAAACCCTAGCGCTGCTCCAAGGTCCGATTCAGAAGCGTTTAATTGTGCCGCTGGCTCTCGAGTTAGCGGCAGGATGGCGTGAGAGACAGATGCCGCTCGTACCTCCACAGTGTAGAACGGTGATGACGATGATGATGGCAAAGAAACAAACAAACAAAAAATAAATGACTCAGCAGCGTTGCGATGATGGTGAAAACACTCACATCAGTGCATCAAGAGTATAATGATTATACATGATGGGCATTCACTTGGCTATGCGTGTAGGCACGGCCCTTTGGCGAATCCACTGCTATGATGGAGGGCCTCCCCGTGTTGCGTGGGTTGCAGGGGTACGTCACCACTCTGGTCAATGTGCCGTTGGTGAAGTTGGGTACAATATATTCCGGGGGCATAGACGTATAGTCCAGCAGTGGATTGAGCTGCAATGCCCTGTGCTGCCAACAACATAGCTCTGCTCGAGGTATGGCATCGAGAGATGCCCCATCACACGTGCGATTATTCTCTGGGTGCACCAGTTTCCTCCCAACATGTGGGAACACTCAACAATTGGCTGAAAAACATAATTAATATATCGAGGACTGCAGAGCTTGGGAAATTATTTGCTGGGACAGGCTCACCACGTGGTTGCATTGCCTCTGGTTCCTCGGCAACTGTGAGATACAATTTGCACGATCCATGATGCGATGCATACAACTTACAATTATTATCTCCATTGTAAATATTGTGACAACCTGTGTGTGTGTGTGTGTGCATGGTGGTCACCCATCCCAGCACAATCCAGGAGCTCTCCTGGTACTTCGATAATAGGCACTGCAATGTGTATAGGAACGGTGTGCGTCCGCACGCGAGGCTGCGTGGTGCCGTCATTAGTGCACTTCACTTACAGTGAGGGAAAAAAAGCATTTGATCCCCTGCTTATTTTGTACGTTTGCCCACTGACAAAGAAATTATCAGTCTATAATTTTAATGGTAGGTTTATTTGAACAGTGAGAGACGGAATAACGACAACAAAAATCCAGAAAAACGCATGTCAAAAATGTTATAAATTGATTTGCATTTTAATGAGGGAACAAAAGTATTTGACCCCCTCTCAATCAGAAAGATTTCTGGCTCACATGTGTCTTTTATACAGGTAACGAGCTGAGATTAGGAGCACTCTCTTAAAGGGAGTGCTCCTAATCTCAGCTTGTTGCCTGGATAAAAGACACCTGTCCACAGAAGCAATCAATCAATCAGATTCCAAACTCTCCACCATGGCCAAGACCAAAGAGCTCTCCAAGGGACAAGATTGTAGAACGACACAAGGCTGGAATGGTGAGAAGGTGACAACAGTTGGTGCGATTATTCGCAGATGGAAGAAACACAAACGAACTGTCAATCTCCCTCGGCCTGGGGCTCCATGCAAGATCTCACCTCGTGGAGTTGCAATGATCATGAGAACGGTGAGGAATCAGCCCAGAACTACACGGGAGGATCTTGTCAATGATCTCAAGGCAGCTGGGACCATAGTCACCAAGAAAACAATTGGTATCACACTACGCCGTGAAGGACTGAAATCGTGCAGCGCCCGCAAGGTCCCCCTGCTCAAGAAAGCACATATACATGCCCGTCTGAAGTTTGCCAATGAACATCTGAATGATTCAGAGGACAATTGGGTGAAAGTGTTGTGGTCAGATGAGACCAAAATGGAGGTCTTTGGCATCAACTCAACTCGCCGTGTTTGGAGGAAGAGGAATGCTGCCTATGACCCCAAGAACACCATCCCCACCGTCAAACATGGAGGTGGATACATTATTCTTTGGGGGTGTTTTTCTGCTAAGGGGACAGGGCAACTTCACCGCATCAAAGGGACGATGGACGGGGCCATATACCGTCAAATCTTGGGTGAGAACCTCCTTCCCTCAGCCAGGGCATTGAAAATGGGTCGTGGATGGGTATTCCAGCATGACAATGACCCAAAACACACGGCCAAGGCAACAAAGGAATGGCTCAAGAAGAAGCACATTAAGGTCCTGGAGTGGCCTAGCCAGTCTCCAGACCTCAATCCCATAGAAAATATGTGGAGGGAGTTGAAGGTTCGAGTTGCCAAACGTCAGCCTCGAAACCTTAATGACTTGGAGAAGATCTGCAAAGAGGAGTGGGACAAAATCCCTCCTGAGGTGTGTGCAAACCTGGTGGCCAACTACAAGAAACGTCTGACCTCTGTGATTGCCAACAAGGGTTTTGCCACCAAGTACCAATTCATGTTTTGCAGAGGGATCAAATACTTATTTCCCTCATTAAAATGCAAATCAATTTATAACATTTTTGACATGCGTTTTTCTGGATTTTGTTGTTATTCTGTCTCTCACTGTTCAAATAAACCTACCATTGAAAGTATAGACTGATAATTTCTTTGTCAGTGGACAAACGTACAAAATCAGCAGGGGATCAAATACTTTTTTCCCTCACTGTACAACCTAAGGTCACGAGTTCAAATCCCAGTCGAGAGTTGACACGACCATTATCCATCCATCCCTCCGGGGAAATGGAGAGGCCCGACTTCTTGTTGCGCCATCAACAATGGTCAACCGATAGAGATACCCCCGCACTCCTCCATCCCATCCGCGCCACGGGAATGTGAAATTTCCAGCCTTCTGGTTCAGTGCCACCACGAACATGGAGACAATCTTACTTCTTTGACTCCGCATGTCGACGGTGTTGTTCGGGAGAACGTTCAACTCAATTAGGGGCTCTAACTCCTCCCACCCCCGAGACCCCAAACGTTGTTATTTTAGTGAAAGTGGCCAGAGAAAATACTTTTATCTTTTAATTTGTCTCATTATTTAAACATCTTTAAATTTCCAGACCGCCCACCCCCCCCCCCCCCCCTATTAAAATATCTCGATGAATCTATGTAGTCCCTTCATTAAAATGCAGCACTATTGGCATCTGCTCAAATAACCCTGATGATCAAAAGGCGTGTGGAGACCTTCATCCAGCAGCGAAATGACCAAGGGCTGGTACATTTAAACTATGATTATTATTATTAAACTCGATTATGCACCGTTTTTTTTGTTATTCCTCCCAGATTGTTATTCCATCCCAGATCACCCCGTGCATTTTTTAAACCCTCGCCTGGCTCTGAATTAATATCACCCACCGTTAGATTCCATAATCGATCGACCCATTGCCAAATGAAAGTTTCCTTCAGAGAAGCGCGTGCCACCGGTTTGTATTATCTCTGCTAATACTCAACAGGTGGCTCGGGAGACTCGTCGGGGCAGAGCGGGAGAGAAATTGGGAGTGGGGGGGGGGTTTAGAGAAAGGAAGAGCAGGAGCACGGGGGGAGAGAGAGAGAGAGAGCGGGAGAGATGGAGAGAGAGGCGCTCCGTTATAAGCCTCTAAAGAATACAACAGCTCAGTTGTCATAGAGACAGATGCAGACTCTGATGCACAAAGGAAGAGCAAGGATGCACACGCACGCACAAAAAAAGAGACAAAGACTTCCCCATTTAACCGAATAGACCCCAGGAGCAAGCGCTATGGGCGAGCACGTGTTCCTGCCAGCGATTGAGGGTGGTGGTGGTGGTGGCGTGGTCAGCACCGTGACTCGATAAGCTTTGTCTCGCCGCTGACGATGCTTACACGCGGCGGCAGATGCTACTTTTTTATTTTCAGGCTGAGCCGACCTCACGGAGGTATTCATCACCGATGTTGGCCGTGAGCGCGGAGCTGAACTCGGGTCGCCGGGTTTGCAGCGCAGTGCGCCTACCACTGCACTACCACTGCACTACCGCTCCCCACATACAAATGTCAGACTGTTGGGGCCAGTTCTGTTAGCGAGCACCTATGAAGGCCGGTAAGGCACATATGCAGTCGCCTTTGTCTCCCCAGTGCTGATGTTAACACACCACACCAGGCACTCATTGAATACTGAATCGTTCTGGGGGATGCCCACACATACACATACAAATGCACACAAAAGACAAAATGCGTTGCGGTTAATATCTGCCGACGGCACTGAGCCAGTGGTGGAAATTCGACATGATCATGGCCGTGACCAGTCCATCCACTGCGCCCAGTGTACACGCCTTCCCGTTTCCCCACCACCCGTTAGCCCCCTCCCGTCACTGCGCCCTTTGCCCCCACCAAGCCCTCTCGAGTAAACGCGTGGTTTACGTTGACGAATGGCAATGAAAACGCCGATGTACGCACATATTCCGTATGTTTATGCGCATGCAATTAGCCCCAACTGCATGCACATATGCACGCAACCAAAACACGCCGTTTGAATCGCATATACTCTACACCGCTGCATGAAGGCTTCCCCCAGACACAATGTGGTCGGTCCTAGACGCTCGATGGCCATACTTCACCACGCCGGTTCACGCGGGTTACTGACCGCTCAAACGCACAAGGGTGGCACTCGTGCTGTTTGCAACAGTGGTAGGAAATTTCGCATTCTTTCGGTGCGGGCCTGGAACGTTAATA